CTCTCTAAGTAAGCTCTCCTCCAGACGAACGGAATTTGCCGGTGTCGATTGCATCAGCAACGACCCATCCCGCCATCTAAACGGAGCGACAAGACGTTTGCTCTCTCTCTCTCTCTCTCTCTCTCTCTCTCTCTCTCTCTCTCTCTCTCTCTCTCTCTCTCTCTCTCTCTACTTTAACTCTCCTCCAGAACAACAGAATTTGTCAGTCTTGATGGCATACATGAAGCGACGACCGTCGATTGACAATGGACGATTACACAAGCAAATGACACCAGTTGAACCATCGCTATCAGATCACTAAGGTTGAGCTAGCCCTCGTCTCTCAAACATCGAGTAAGCGCTTCTCTCTCAAACATTGAAAACGACGAGGCTTTCCTAAAACAGAAAAGTTCAGATCAGTCGTTTAGCTCGTTTCTCTTTCCATTGATTTGAATGATTTCGATAGTCTTCTTTCTTTTTCTTCCTCTATCCTCCTCGTTGTCCCAGTCCCGTACTCGAGACTACTCGGTATTGATTACTTCTAATTCACTTCGTGTGCTCAAGTATTCAAGCTGAGATCAGGACCTCGTTCATCGTCATCGCGATTTGCCGCCCATAGCCCCGGATCCCTTCGCTTGCTGTTAGCTGCTTCTGCTCATTCCCCAGCGTCCTACACCAAGCCAGAAGAAGAAGTCCTGAACAGCGAAAATCAGCCACGCAAACAAAAGCTGTCAAAAAGGCAATCAGACGCATGTATCGATATCATGTGCACAAGTGGACAAAGGACAAAGCGACAGTCAAAAAGGCGACCAGATGCATGTCACAATATTATCTTCCAAATGGCCAAGACGACAAACTTCTAGGAGGAAATCACAACGGTAGCCCTTGTACTCGACTAGACAGAACGTTGGTAAGAACTCCGCATAGGGAAAGATATTAATAAATGGAAATTCCGAAGAAACGAGCAGAGGAGACGATAGAGAGCGAGAGAGGAAGGGCTAACGTCACAAATGGGAGAAAATACAAAGACAAAACACGGCGCGCACAGAGAGAGACAGAGAAAGACAGAGAGAGAGGATCCGGTTTGTTCACTCCACTTGCTCTGAATGCTTGGCACTGCACGCAGCAGTGCAGAGGAACCCAGCGACCAAGGACCGGGTGCAACAGGGAAGGGGGGAGAGAGAGAGAGAGAGAGAGAGAGAGAGAGAGAGAGAGAGAGAGAGAGAGAGAGAGAGAGAGAG